ACGGTTCCACCTGAAGACGGAAGCTTGTGTTGCCTCCGAAACGTCGTGATTTTTATTTTATTTTACTTTTATTAATTTTAATGTTTTACCTACGTGACTTTACCGAAAAAACCTAAGAATACCAGCGGATCGGTAGATGCAAGGCCGTAGCCATGGAGTCAACATTGGGGGGGGGGGACCAAATCTTCCAGGGGGTCTGGGGGTCCCCCCCCCAGAAAAAAATATATCTAAATTTGAAAACGAATTTCTGCCTAAAATATACAAAAAAATTCACTAACACATGGGATTGACTTTTTTCCCGTACAATAATGTCTAGTAGTGTATTGTATTGATCTTTGTTTTCTTTTTTACCTTTTCTTGTGTCATTGTAGGTAATGGCAGAGATTAGGGATTTGTAAAGTACAATCATAACCACAATCATATAAGCAGAAATATATTTTATAGCAAGAAATTGGGGGGGGGGGGCATTTTGAGCATATTTGAATATTGGGGGGGGATGTGTCCCCCCCCCAATATTATAATTACTGCCCTGGGTAGATGAGAGTCTCACAACGTCTGTGTGTGAGCCACCGACCCTAGCTGCTGCCCCTCACTGCTGGGTGACAGGGCGCGCGCAGAGCCGCGATCGCCCGGCTACGGGTGCAGGGCGCTGGTTGGAGTGCTCAGTCTTACAGGGTGCTGCTGGCAAAGTGCCGTGCCTAGGGTGCAGGGTGTGGAGTGCAGGGTGCTGTGTGCAGGGTGTCCTGTGCAGGGTGCTGTGTGCATGGTGCTGTGTGCATGGTGCGGAGTGGAGGGTGTCCTGTGCAGAGTGTCCTGTGCAGGGTGCTGTGTGCATGGTGCTGCTGTGTGCATGGTGCTGTGTGCATGGTGCGGAGTGGAGGGTGTCCTGTGCAGGGTGTCCTGTGCAGGGTGCTGTGTGCATGGTGCTGTGTGCATGGTGCTGTGTACGGGGTGCGGAGTGGAGGGTGTCCTGTGCAGGGTGTCCTGTGCAGGGTGCTGTGTGCATGGTGCTGTGTGCATGGTGCTGTGTACGGGGTGCGGAGTGGAGGGTGTCCTGTGCAGGGTGTCCTGTGCATGGTGCTGTGTGCATGGTGCTGCTGTGTGCATGGTGCTGTGTGCAGGGTGCGGAGTGGAGGGTGTCCTGTGCAGGGTGTCCTGTGCAGGGTGCTGTGTGCATGGTGCTGTGTGCATGGTGCTGTGTGCAGGGTGCGGAGTGGAGGGTGTCCTGTGCAGGGTGTCCTGTGCAGGGTGCTGTGTGCATGGTGCTGTGTGCAGGGTGCGGAGTGGAGGGTGTCCTGTGCAGGGTGTCCTGTGCAGGGTGCTGTGTGCATGGTGCTGTGTGCATGGTGCTGTGTGCAGGGTGCGGAGTGGAGGGTGTCCTGTGCAGGGTGTCCTGTGCAGGGTGCTGTGTGCATGGTGCTGTGTGCAGGGTGCGGAGTGGAGGGTGTCCTGTGCAGGGTGTCCTGTGCAGGGTGATGTGTGCAGGGTGCTGTGTGCAGGGTGCGGAGTGGAGGGTGTCCTGTGCAGGGTGTCCTGTGCAGGGTGCTGTGTGCAGGGTGCTGTGTGCAGGGTGCGGAGTGGAGGGTGTCCTGTGCAGGGTGTCCTGTGCAGGGTGCTGTGTGCAGGGTGCTGTGTGCAGGGTGCGGAGTGGAGGATGTCCTGTGCAGGGTGTCCTGTGCAGGGTGCTGTGTGCAGGGTGCGCGGTGCAGGGGGGAGGGGAAAAAGTCAATCTTGTTGTGCGCAGAGTGCACACAGCTGTGTGTAGTGCGGCAGAGTGCAGGGTGCTGTGCCTATAGTGCATGGGGCTGTGTGCATGGTGTTCTGTGCTGGGTGTCGGCTGCAGGGTGTTCTGTGCTGTGTGCAGGGTGTTGCTGTGCAGGGTGTTCTGTGTGCAGGGTGTTGCAGGCTGTAGGGTGTTCTGTGCTGTGTGCAGGGTGTTCTGTGCAGGGTGTTGATGTGTGCTGTGTGCAGGGTGGTGTAGGCTGCAGGGTGTTACTGTGTGCAGGGTGTTGCTGTGTGCAGGGTGTTCTGTGCAGTCTGCAGGGTGTTACTGTGTGCAGGGTGTTGCTGTGTGCAGGGTGTTGTTGTGTGCAGGGTGTTGCTGTGTGCTGTGTGCAGGGTGGTGTAGGCTGCAGGGTGTTACTGTGTGCAGGGTGTTACTGTGTGCAGGGTGTTGCTGTGTGCAGGGTGTTCTGTGCAGTCTGCAGGGTGTTACTGTGTGCAGGGTGTTGCTGTGTGCAGGGTGTTGTTGTGTGCAGGGTGTTGCTGTGTGCTGTGCAGGGTGGTGTAGGCTGCAGGGTGTTACTGTGTGCAGGGTGTTACTGTGTGCAGGGTGTTGCTGTGTGCAGGGTGTTCTGTGCAGTCTGCAGGGTGTTACTGTGTGCAGGGTGTTGCTGTGTGCAGGGTGTTGTTGTGTGGAGGGTGTTGCTGTGTGCAGGGTGTTCTGTGCAGGCTGCAGGGTGTTACTGTGTGCAGGGTGTTGCTGTGTGCAGGGTGTTGTTGTGTGCAGGGTGTTGCTGTGTGCTGTGCAGGGTGTTACTGTGTGCAGGGTGTTGTTGTGTGCAGGGTGTTGCTGTGTGCTGTGCAGGGTGTTACTGTGTGCAGGGTGTTGCTGTGTGCTGTGTGCAGGGTGTTGCTGTGTACTGTGCAGGGTGTTGCTGTGTACTGTGCAGGGTGTTGCTGTGTGCAGGGTGTTCTGTGTGCAGGGTGTGCTGTGTGCTATGTGCAGGGTGTTGCTGTGTGCAGGGTGTTGCTGTGTACTGTGCAGGGTGTTGCTGTGTGCTGTGCAGGGTGTTGCTGTGTGCAGGGTGTTCTGTGCAGGGTGTTGCTGTGTGCAGGGTGGTGCAGGGTGTTGCTGTGTGCAGGGTGTTCTGTGCAGGGTGTTGCTGTGTGCAGGGTGTTCTGTGCAGGCTGTTATTGTGTGCAGGGTGTTACTGTGTGCAGGGTGGTGCAGGGTGTTGCTGTGTGCAGGGTGTTCTGTGCTGGGTGTCGCGGCCTCGGGGGCGAGGTGACGCGGTTATGGCCATGGGGTTCAAAGTCCTCGCTCTGTCGTAATGCGAGCCGCGGGGTGGGGGGGGCGGTAGGGTGGGGGGTGAGGTGGGGGGGGGGGGTAGGGTGGGGGTGAGGTGGGGGGTAGAAATCCGCGGAAGCTCCACGTTCTCGTTGTCTCCCCCCAAATTATACTCTGGCATGTTGAAGTTGTCCGTACTCTGTGGGGAAAGACAACAATCACAGGCGCACGTACGTGCACACACACACCTGTACACACAAACACGTGCACACACAAACGCACACACAAACGCGTGTACACACACACCTGTACACACACACACACGTGCACACACACACGTGTACACACAGACACACGTGTACACACACACGTGTACACACACACGTGTACACACACACGTGCACACGCACGTGCACACACACATGTGTACACACACGTGTACACACACACGCGCACAAAGACAAATATCCCCCTTATAGCCTCACCAGACTGATGGGGCAAGTGCTGTTAGCGAGAAGCACATACGAAGGCCGGCACGGCACACAAGGTAGTGGATGGCAAACGCCACGCCCGGCCGCCTTTGTCTCCCTCCCCCCACCCCGGAGTGGCAATGTTTACACATCCCTGAACCAGGGTAATAATTTGAGGCCGAGTCGACCTAGAGGGGGGGGGGGGGGGGGGGCCTTGGACCGGTTCAGCTGACCGCGAGGTGAGTGTCAGGGTGAGTGTACCTGGAAGGGTGGAGGGGGGGGTGAGGAGAGAGGCGAGTGAGGGGTGAGGTGAGTGGTGAGAGGCGCGAGTGGTGAGGCGAGTGGTGAGGGGCGCGAGTGGTGAGGCGAGTGGTGTTGGTTGGTCGCCGTGAGCGGGAATGGAACTCGCGTCGCCGGGTGCGTTGGGGCAGCGCGCTCACCACTGCGCCCACCGCCCCCCCCCCCACCAACACACACAAAGACAAAGATCCCCGGTGTAGCCTTAACAGACTGTAGGGGCAAGTGCTGTTAACGAGCAATTATGAAGGCCGAAACGGTACACGAGGGGGTGAATGGTCAGTGGCGATGTTTACACACCGCACCAGGTACTCATTTGAGGCTGAGTCGAACTAGGGGAGGCCCGGGACCGGTTCAGATAATCGTCACTGGTGTTGGCCGTGAGCGGGAATCGAACAGGTTCGTAGCGCAGCGCGCTAACCGCTATACTACCGCACCTCACAGACACACGCACACACACACACGCACACACACACACGCACACACGCACACACACACGCACACACACACGCACACACACACATTTACACACACACGCACACACACACACATACGCACACACACGCACGCACACACACGCACACATACGCACACACACACGCACACAAACACGCACACACACACGCACACACACACACATTTACACACACGCACACACACACACATACGCACACACACACACGCACACACACACACATACGCACACACACGCACACACACACGCACACACACACGCACACACGCACACACACACACACGCACACACATACGCGCACACACACGCACACACGCACACACAAGCACACACGCGCACACACACGCACACACACACGCACACACACGCGCACACACACACGCGCACACACGCACACACGCACGCACACACGCACGCACACACACACATACGCACACACACGCACACAAACACGCACACACACACACACACAAAAACACGCACACACACGCACACACGCACACACACACACGCACACACACGCACACACACACACGCACGGCACACACGCACACACACACACACGCACACACACACACACACACACGCACGCGCACACACACACGGCACTGGCTTGACACACGTGGGGTGAGGGGGGCGTGAGGGGGGTGGTGGGGGATGACCCTGGGGGTGTTACTGGGGGGGGGGGGAAGTAACTTTTCGGTGTTGTTTGGGGAAAGCGTAGATCGAAGCAACACGGGTACCGGTCGTGTGATCACTCACCAACACTCACCCTGACACGGCCATCACTCACCATCACTCACCAACACTCACCGTCACACTCGCTCGCCGTTAGAGTCACACGAAGTCACCATCGCTCGCCCTCACACCTGCAATCACACTCACCAACTCGCACTCACCCCCTTGCTCATGCACACCCCTCTACTCACCGTCATTCAAACTCACCCTCACCACGCAGGCTCGCCCTCACACTTACCCTCATTCAAGCTAGTCCACCCTCTCACTCACCCTCACACTCCCTCGCACTCACCAACACTCGCGACAATTACACTCACCCGTTCACTCACCGTTCACTCACCCGTTCGCTTACCCATTCACTCACCCGTTCACTCACCCGTTTACTCACCCATTCACTCACCCGTTCACTCACCCGTTCACTCACCCGTTCGCTTACCCGTTCACTCACCCATTCACTCACCCGATCACTCACCCATTCACTCACCCGTTCACTCATTCGTTCACTCACCCATTCACTCACCCTATCACTCACCCGTTCACTCACCCGTTCACTCACCCATTCACTCACCCATTCACTCACCCACTCACCCGTTCACTCACCCATTCACTCACCCGTTCACTCACCTATTCACTCACCCGTCCACTCACCCACTCACCCATTCACTCACCCATTCACTCACCCGTTCACCCATTCACTCACCCATTCACTCACCCACTCACCCATTCACCCATTCACTCACCCATTCACTCACCCGTTCACTCACCCACTCACCCATTCACTCACCCATTCACTTACCCCCGCGCTCGCTCGACTCGCATGGCCGGGGTGAGCAGGCGCCATCGGCAGGCATCACTAGTGGCCGAGTATGTAAGAAGGGGTGAGGTGAGGGGTGAGTGTCTCTAAGTGGTGAGGAGCAGAGTGAGGGGAGCGTACGTCTCAAAGGGGTGAGCATTCGGGTTCGGCGAGTGATATTGGGTGGTGATGGTTAGGTGGTGAGGGTTAGGTGGTTGAGGTGAGCGTCACTGTGAAGTGATCGGTGAGGAGTGTCCCTGGGGGTGAGGATTGAGGTGAGTGACAGGGTGAGGGTGCCTGGGAGGGGTGAGGAGAGAGGCGAGTGAGGTAAGATTATCCCTGGGGGTGAGGTGGAGAGTGTTTTGACGGGCCGAGTTTGGAATTAGGTGAGGAGCAAGGTGAGCGATCCCTGGAGGGTGAGGCAAGCAGCGGGGTAAAAGGTGAGGAGGCGAGGCAAAGTGGTGAGGGGAGTGGTGAGGCGAGTGGTGAGGCGAGTGGTGAGGCGAGTGGTGAGGCAAGTGGTGAGGCAAGTGGTGAGGGGAGTGTTTTGGCGGAACAGGTGAGGAAGTCAGGTGAGAGGTAGATTAGAGACAGGCAGCGGGGTAAAAGGTGAGGAGGCGAGGCAAAGTGGTGAGGGGAGTGGTGAGGGGAGTGGTGAGCAGAGTGGTGAGGCGAGTGGTGAGGGGAGTGGTGAGGCAAGTGGTGAGGCGAGTGGTGAGAGGAGTGTTTTGGCGGAACAGGTGAGGAATTCAGGTGAGAGGCAGATTAGAGGCAGGCAGCGGGGTAAAAGGTGAGGAGGCGAGGCAAAGTGGTGAGGCGAGTGGTGAGGGGAGTGGTGAGCAGAGTGGTGAGGCGAGTGGTGAGGGGAGTGGTGAGGCAAGTGGTGAGGCGAGTGGTGAGAGGAGTGTTTTGGCGGAACAGGTGAGGAATTCAGGTGAGAGGCAGATTAGAGGCAGGCAGCGGGGTAAAAGGTGAGGAGGCGAGGCAAAGTGGTGAGGCGAGTGGTGAGGGGAGTGGTGAGGAAAGTGGTGAGGGGAGTGGTGAGGCGAGTGGTGAGGCGAGTGGTGAGGGTAGTGGTGAGGCGAGTGGTGAGGCAAGTGGTGAGGCGAGTGGTGAGGCAAGTGGTGAGGCGAGTGGTGAGGGGAGTGGTGAGGCGAGTGGTGAGGCAAGTGGTGAGGGGAGTGGTGAGGCGAGTGGTGAGGCAAGTGGTGAGGGGAGTGGTGAGGCGAGTGGTGAGGCAAGTGGTGAGGCGTGTGGTGAGGCAAGTGGTGAGGCGAGTGGTGAGGGGAGTGGTGAGGCGAGTGGTGAGGCAAGTGGTGAGGGGAGTGGTGAGGCGAGCCGGGCGGGGAGGAGGTGGAGGAGGATGCGCCTGTCGCCACGTCTCACCGCGGACATCATGTCCGACTTCCCCGCTCTCGACCCCGATTTCTCGCGTCTCATGGAGTTTCACGGGGACCAGCAGCAGGGCGTGGGGTCCCCTCACGGTGAGACCCCCAACAGGGACCCCTCTCAGCAACCCCCTTCCTCCCCCCCCCTTGATGGACCTCACGGATACTGCCTCCCTTACACCTCTATCTTCAGGGACCTCACAGAGGGGTTCTGGGGACCTGCTTTGGGACCGAGTGAGTCGCTAGAGGAACCTCACAGAGGGGTTCTGGGGACCTGCTTTGGGACCGAGTGAGTCGCTAGAGGAACCTCACAGAGGGGTTCTGGGGACCTGCTTTGGGACCGAGTGAGTCGCTAGAGGAACCTCACAGAGGGGTTCTGGGGACCTGCTTTGGGACCGAGTGAGTCTCTTGAGGAACCTCACAGAGGGGTTCTGGGGACCTGCTTTGGGACCGAGTGAGTCTCTTGAGGAACCTCACAGAGGGGTTCTGGGGACCTGCTTTGGGACCGAGTGAGTCGCTAGAGGAACCTCACAGAGGGGTTCTGGGGACCTGCTTTGGGACCGAGTGAGTCGCTAGAGGAACCTCACAGAGGGGTTCTGGGGACCTGCTTTGGGACCGAGTGAGTCGCTAGAGGAACCTCACAGAGGGGTTCTGGGGACCTGCTTTGGGACCGAGTGAGTCTCTTGAGGAACCTCACAGAGGGGTTCTGGGTACCTGCTTTGGGACCGAGTGAGTCTCTTGAGGAACCTCACAGAGGGGTTCTGGGGACCTGCTTTGGGACCGAGTGAGTCGCTAGAGGAACCTCACAGAGCGGTTCTGGGGACCTGCTTTGGGACCGAGTGAGTCGCTAGAGGAACCTCACAGAGGGGTTCTGGGGACCTGCTTTGGGACCGAGTGAGTCTCTTGAGGAACCTCACAGAGGGGTTCTGGGGACCTGCTTTGGGACCGAGTGAGTCTCTTGAGGAACCTCACAGAGGGGTTCTGGGGACCTGCTTTGGGACCGAGTGAGTCGCTAGAGGAACCTCACAGAGGGGTTCTGGGGACCTGCTTTGGGACCGAGTGAGTCTCTTGAGGAACCTCACAGAGGGGTTCTGGGGACCTGCTTTGGGACCGAGTGAGTCTCTTGAGGAACCTCACAGAGGGGTTCTGGGGACCTGCTTTGGGACCGAGTGAGTCGCTAGAGGAACCTCACAGAGGGGTTCTGGGGACCTGCTTTGGGACCGAGTGAGTCTCTTGAGGAACCTCACAGAGGGGTTCTGGGGACCTGCTTTGGGACCGAGTGAGTCGCTAGAGGAACCTCACAGAGGGGTTCTGGGGACCTGCTTTGGGACCGAGTGAGTCTCTTGAGGAACCTCACAGAGGGGTTCTGGGGACCTGCTTTGGGACCGAGTGAGTCGCTAGAGGAACCTCACAGAGGGGTTCTGGGGACCTGCTTTGGGACCGAGTGAGTCTCTTGAGGAACCTCACAGAGGGGTTCTGGGGACCTGCTTTGGGACCGAGTGAGTCGCTAGAGGAACCTCACAGAGGGGTTCTGGGGACCTGCTTTGGGACCGAGTGAGTCGCTAGAGGAACCTCACAGAGGGGTTCTGGGGACCTGCTTTGGGACCGAGTGAGTCGCTAGAGGAACCTCACAGAGGGGTTCTGGGGACCTGTTTGTGTCCAGTGGGATGGAGTGAATCTCTTCAGGAACCTCAGAGGGGTTCTGGGGACCTGCTTTGGGACCGAGTGAGTCTCTTGAGGAACCTCACAGAGGGGTTCTGGGGACCTGCTTTGGGACCGAGTGAGTCTCTTGAGGAACCTCACAGAGGGGTTCTGGGGACCTGCTTTGGGACCGAGTGAGTCGCTAGAGGAACCTCACAGAGGGGTTCTGGGGACCTGCTTTGGGACCGAGTGAGTCTCTTGAGGAACCTCACAGAGGGGTTCTGGGGACCTGCTTTGGGACCGAGTGAGTCTCTTGAGGAACCTCACAGAGGGGTTCTGGGGACCTGCTTTGGGACCGAGTGAGTCGCTAGAGGAACCTCACAGAGGGGTTCTGGGGAACTGCTTTGGGACCGAGTGAGTCTCTTGAGGAACCTCACAGAGGGGTTCTGGGGACCTGCTTTGGGACCGAGTGAGTCGCTAGAGGAACCTCACAGAGGGGTTCTGGGGACCTGCTTTGGGACCGAGTGAGTCTCTTGAGGAACCTCACAGAGGGGTTCTGGGGACCTGCTTTGGGACCGAGTGAGTCGCTAGAGGAACCTCACAGAGGGGTTCTGGGGACCTGCTTTGGGACCGAGTGAGTCTCTTGAGGAACCTCACAGAGGGGTTCTGGGGACCTGCTTTGGGACCGAGTGAGTCGCTAGAGGAACCTCACAGAGGGGTTCTGGGGACCTGCTTTGGGACCGAGTGAGTCGCTAGAGGAACCTCACAGAGGGGTTCTGGGGACCTGCTTTGGGACCGAGTGAGTCGCTAGAGGAACCTCACAGAGGGGTTCTGGGGACCTGTTTGTGTCCAGTGGGATGGAGTGAATCTCTTCAGGAACCTCAGAGGGGTTCTGGGGACCTGCTTTGGGACCGAGTGAGTCTCTTGAGGAACCTCACGGAGGGGTTCTGGGGACCTGTTTGTGTCCAGTGGGACCGAGTGAGTTTCTTGAGGAACCTCACGGAGGGGTTCTGGGGACCTGTTTGTGTCCAGTGGGACCGAGTGAGTCTCTTGAGGAACCTCACGGAGGGGTTCTGGGGACCTGTTTGTGTCCAGTGGGACCGAGTGAGTCTCTTGAGGAACCTCACAGAGGGGTTCTGGGGACCTGCTTTGGGACCGAGTGAGTCTCTTGAGGAACCTCACGGAGGGGTTCTGGGGACCTGTTTGTGTCCAGTGGGACCGAGTGAGTCTCTTGAGGAACCTCACGGAGGGGTTCTGGGGACCTGTTTGTGTCCAGTGGGACCGAGTGAGTCTCTTGAGGAACCTCACGGAGGGGTTCTGGGGACCTGTTTGTGTCCAGTGGGACCGAGTGAGTTTCTTGAGGAACCTCACAGAGGGGTTCTGGGATCTGTTTGTGTCCAGTGGGACCGAGTGAGTCTCTTGAGGAACCTCACAGAGGGGTTCTGGGACCTGCTTGTGTCCAGTGAGACCGAGTGAGTCTCTTCAGGAACCTCACAGAGGGGTTCTGGGGACCTGTTTGTGTCCAGTGGGACCGAGTGAGTCTCTTGAGGAACCTCACAGAGGGGTTCTGGGGACCTGTTTGTGTCCAGTGGGACCGAGTGAGTCTCCTGAAGAACCTCACAGAGGGGTTCTGGGGACCTGTTTGTGTCCAGTGGGACCGAGTGAGTCTCTTGAGGAACCTCACGGAGGGGTTCTGGGGACCTGTTTGTGTCCAGTGGGACCGAGTGAGTCTCTTGAGGAACCTCACGGAGGGGTTCTGGGGACCTGTTTGTGTCCAGTGGGACCGAGTGAGTCTCTTGAGGAACCTCACAGAGGGGTTCTGGGACCTGCTTGTGTCCAGTGGGACCGAGTGAGTCTCTTGAGGAACCTCACAGAGGGGTTCTAGGGACCTGTTTGTGTCCAGTGGGACCGAGTGAGTTTCTTGAGGAACCTCACAGAGGGATTCTGGGATCTGTTTGTGTCCAGTGGGACCGAGTGAGTCTCTTGAGGAACCTCACAGAGGGGTTCTAGGGACCTGTTTGTGTCCAGTGGGATCGAGTGAGTCTCCTGAGGAACCTCACAGAGGGGTTCTGGGGACCTGCTTGTGTCCAGTGGAACCGAGTGAGTCTCTTGAGGAACCTCACAGAGGGGTACTGGGGATCTGTTTGTGTCCAGTGGGACCGAGTGAGTCTCTTGAGAAACCTCACAGAGGGGTTCTGGGGACCTGTTTGTGTCCAGTGGGACCGAGTGAGTTTCTTGAGGAACCTCACAGAGGGGTTCTGGGACCTGTTTGTGTCCAGTGGGACCGAGTGAGTTTCTTGAGGAACCTCACAGAGGGGTTCTGGGATCTGTTTGTTTCCAGTGGGACCGAGTGAGTCTCTTGAGGAACCTCACAGAGGGGTTCTGGGGATCTGTTTGTGTCCAGTGGGACCGAGTGAGTCTCTTGAGGAAACTCACAGAGGGGTTCTGGGGATCTGTTTGTGTCCAGTGGGACCGCGTGAGTCTCTTGAAGAACCTCACAGAGGGGTTCTGGGGACCTGTTTGTGTCCAGTGGGACCGAGTGAGTCTCTTGAGGAACCTCACAGAGGGGTTCTGGGGACCTGCTTGTGTCCAGTGGGACCGAGTGAGTCTCTTCAGGAACCTCACAGAGGGGTTCTGGGGACCTGTTTGGGACCGAGTGAGTCTCTTGAGGAACCTCACAGAGGGGTTCTGGGGACCTGTTTGTGTCCAGTGGGACCGAGTGAGTCTCTTAGGAACCTCACAGAGGGGTTCTGGGGACCTGTTTTGGGACCGAGTGAGTCTCTTCAGGAACCTCACAGAGGGGTTCTGGGACCTGCTTGTGTCCAGTGGGACCGAGTGAGTCTCTTGAGGAACCTCACAGAGGGGTTCTGGGGATCTGTTTGTGTCCAGTGGGACCGCGTGAGTCTCTTGAAGAACCTCACAGAGGGGTTCTGGGGACCTGTTTGTGTCCAGTGGGACCGAGTGAGTCTCTTGAGGAACCTCACAGAGGGGTTCTGGGGACCTGCTTGTGTCCAGTGGGACCGAGTGAGTCTCTTCAGGAACCTCACAGAGGGGTTCTGGGGACCTGTTTGGGACCGAGTGAGTCTCTTGAGGAACCTCACAGAGGGGTTCTGGGGACCTGTTTGTGTCCAGTGGGACCGAGTGAGTCTCTTAGGAACCTCACAGAGGGGTTCTGGGGACCTGTTTTGGGACCGAGTGAGTCTCTTCAGGAACCTCACAGAGGGGTTCTGGGACCTGCTTGTGTCCAGTGGGACCGAGTGAGTCTCTTGAGGAACCTCACAGAGGGGTTCTGGGGACCTGTTTGTGTCCAGTGGAACTGAGTGAGTCTCTTGAGGAACCTCACAGAGGGGTTCTGGGGACCTGTTTGTGTCCAGTGAGTCCGAGTGAGTCTCTTGAGGAACCTTACAGAGGGGTTCTGGGGACCTGTTTGTGTCCAGTGGGACTGAGTGAGTCTCTTGAGGAACCTCACAGAGGGTTATGGGGACCTGTTTGTGTCCAGTGGGACCGAGTGAGTCTCTTCAGGAACCTCACAGAGTGGTTCTGGGGACCTGTTTGTGTCCAGTGGGACCGAGTGAGTCTCTTCAGGAACCTCACAGAGGGGTTCTGGGACCTGCTTGTGTCCAGTGGGACCGAGTGATCCACACCGCGATGTTTACAGACGAGTGGGCAATGTTGCACTTGGGCGAGTGATGTTATCGGCGAGTGGTGTGTGTTGAACTTTTTTCGCACCGTACGTAGCCAATCCGTGCCAATCGGAGGTGCGGGGGAAGGGCAACAAACTAGCGCACGCAATAAGCAGCGCTGAAAAAAAATGTCGATCTAGATGTGCATAGAGGTGAGCGAGCGATGTTACATATGAGTGATGTTACAGGTGAGTGAGTGATGTTATAGGTGAGTGAGTGATGTTATAGGTGAGTGAGTGATGTTACGAGTGATTGATGTTACAGGCGAGTGAGCGATGTTACGAGTGATGTTAGAGGTGAGTGATGTTACGAGTGATGTTACAGGTGATGTTACAGGTGAGTGAGTGATGTTAAGAGTGATTGATGTTACAGGCGAGTGAGCGATGTTACGAGTGATGTTAAAGGTGATGTTACAGGTGAGTGATGTTACGAGTGATGTTACAGTTGAGCAATGATAGAGGTGAGTGATGTTACAGTTGAGTGAGTGATGTTGAAGGCGAGTGATGTTGGAGGTGAGTGATGTTACGAGTGATGTTGAAGGTGAGTGATGTTACGAGTGATGTTACAGATGAATGATGTTACGAGTGATGTTGAAGGTGAGTGATGTTACGAGTGATGTTGAAGGTGAGTGATGTTACAGATGAGTGATGTTACGAGCGATGTTACAGGTGAGTGAGTGATGTTACAGGTGAGTGAGTGATGTTACAGGGGAGTGATGTTACGAGCGATGTTACAGGTGAGTGAGTGATGTTACAGGGGAGTGATGTTACGAGCGATGTTACAGGTGAGTGAGTGATGTTACAGGTGAGTGAGTGATGTTACAGGGAAGTGATGTTACAAGTGATGTTGGAGGTGAGTGAGCGATGTTAGAAGTGAGTGATGTTACAGATGAGTGATGTTGAAGGCGAGTGATGTTGGAGGTGAGTGATGTTACAGATGAGTGATGTTGAAGGCGAGTGATGTTACAGGTGAGTGAGTGATGTTACAGATGAGTGATGTTGAAGGCGAGTGATGTTGGAGGTGAGTGATGTTACAGATGAGTGCCATCTGTCCACTCAGCAGAGTGGATTCGCAGTGTGCGTGTGGTGTGGGGTATAGTGTGGGTACGACAACGGTGGTCGCCGCATCGCGCGGCGCCTTCAGACGCGCTTCTGCGGCCGTCTGGAACGCTCTCCCTTCCGATATGAGGAAGCCACTGGGAGCGGATGCACTTTTATATTTAGATTGAAAACTAATTTTTTTTGAACTCCTTTTCGTGTCGTTTGCGGTCCTTCCTCCGCACCTCCGATTATCGCGGTTGGCAAGGTACGGTGCGAAAGAAGTTCCACAATTCAGTACATACACCCCACTTCTTACAAACGCCAGAGCTTCCGCCAGCAGGGGCGCGACGGAGCACTTGCAGGAGCTGCGCCTAATACAAATAAAACATAATAAAATTCTCACGACGTTTCGGCCACAACGCAAGCAGCCGTCCTCAGGTGAAGAACAGGGCTGTCGGTAAGACAGCGTCTGAATGAACACGTGTTCATTCGGACGCTGTCTTCCCGACAGAACACGTGTTCATTAGGACAGCTGAAACGTCGTGAGGATTGTATTTTATTATGTTTTATTTTTATTATTTTATTATTTCCCTTCTACGTGACTTTACCGAAAGAACCAAGAAGAAGCCTCCTACGTGTTAATCTTATTTTGAACTCTTCCACCCCCTACCCCGTCCCCCCCCACCCAACCCCCCCGCCTACCCCCCCCACCCCATCCCCCCCCACCCCACCCTACCCCCCCTACCCCACCCCCCCACCCCACCCTACCCCCCCCTACCCCCCCTACCCCATCCCCTCCACCCCACCCTACCCCCCCTACCCCATCCCCCCCCACCCCACCCTACCCCCCCCTACCCCATCCCCCCCCCCCACCCTACCCCCCATCCCCCCCCCCTACCCCGTCCCCCCCACCCCCCCTACCCCCACCCCCACACCCTACCCCCCAGGTGTGCATGGGCCCTCGGACTCCGTGGGGCCCGGGGGCCCCGGGGCGGGCGTGCTAGTGAGCGGCGTGGTGGCCACGTGCGCCATCTGCGGAGACCGCGCCACCGGGAAGCACTACGGCGCCTCCAGCTGCGACGGCTGCAAGGGGTTCTTCCGGCGCAGCGTGCGCAAGAACCACATCTACACCTGCAGGTGCGGAGGCGGCGCTTGCACCTGCAGCGCTTGCACCTGCAGCGCTTGCACCTGCAGCGCTTGCAACCTGCAGCGCTTGCACCTGCAGCGCTTGCACCTGCAGCGCTTGCACCTGCAGCGCTTGCAACCTGCAGCGCTTGCACCTGCAGTGCTTGCAACCCGCAGCGCTTGCACCCGCAGCGCTTGCACCTGCAGCGCTTGCACCTGCAGCGCTTGCAACCTGCAGCGCTTGCACCTGCAGCGCTTGCACCTGCAGCGCTTGCAACCTGCAGCGCTTGCACCTGCAGCGCTTGCACCTGCAGCGCTTGCAACCTGCAGCGCTTGCACCTGCAGCGCTTGCACCTGCAGCGCTTGCAACCCGCAGCGCTTGCACCTGCAGGTGCAACCTACAGCGCTTGCACCTGCAGTGCTTGCACCTGCAGCGCTTGCAACCTGCAGCGCTTGCAACCTGCAGCGCTTGCGCCTGCAGCGCTTGCACCCGCGGTGGCAGCGGCGCGCCCGCCTGCAGTTTCAGTATCGCGCTGCCTGGCGTAGTAAACGTAGCGCACCGCCTGTAGCAGCGTGACACCTGTAGCAGCACCCCGCTTGTAGTACACCACCTGTAGCAGCGTACCACCTGTAGTAGCACCCCGCTTGTAGTACACCACCTGTAGCAGTGTGACACCTGCAGCGGACCAGCTGTAGCAGCGTACCCCCTCTAGGGGGCCGTCCATAAATGACGTCACGCGATTTTAGACGATTTTTGACCCCCCCCTCCCCTCGTCACACGGCGTCACAATAAGCCAGACCCCCCCCTCAAATATGACGTCACAAAGCTCTGCCCCCCGCGTCCCCCCCCCCAAAACCATATTTCCATTTTGAAAATAAAACATGTTTAAAATCGCTTTAAACTATTGTCATCGTAGTGCGTGTTTAATGTGGCGCTGCACTCTGATGTTGTAGGAGTCTTGTTATAACAATTCTATATTTATTTAAAGTTGCGCATTTTGACGTCACACATCGTCACAAATGTCTGACCCTCCCCTAGGTGCGTGACGTCATTTATGGACGGCCCCTAGTGTACCGCCTGTAGTAGCGCACCGCCTGTAGTGCACCGCTGCCTGCAGCATTGATTCAAGCATAGCCTGACTCTGCTGATGACACACCTGTCCTGAGCTTGCCTGCGTTCAACCAATGGAGGAAGGGCCGTGCGGGTGATGGGATGGGCGCTCGCGCGTGCACACGTGTCCACCTGTGTGTCCACCTGTGTGTCCACCTGTGTGTTCACCTGTGTGTTCACCTGTGTGTCCACCTGTGTGTTCACCTGTGTGTTCACCTGTGTGTTCACCTGCGTGTCCACCTGTGTGTTCACCTGTGTGTCCACCTGTGTGTCCACCTGTGTGTTCACCTGTGTTCACCTGTGTCCACCTGTGTGTCCACCTGTGTGTTCACCTGTGTGTCCTCCTGTGTCCACCTGTGTGTCCACCTGTGTGTCCACCTGCGTGTTCACCTGTGTGTTCACCTGTGTGTCCACCTGCGTGTTCACCTGTGTGTCCACCTGCGTGTCCACCTTTGTGTCCACCTGCATGTCCACCTGCGTGTTCACCTGCGTGTCCACCTTTGTGTCCACCTGTGTGTCCACCTGCGTGTTCACCTGCGTGTCCACCTGCGTGTTCACCTGCGTGTTCACCTGTGTGTCCACCTGCGTGTTCACCTGCGTGCGGTTTGGGCGGCGTCGCCACCGCCACCACCGCCTCCCTCCCTCCCTCTCGGCCGAGCGCCCCGGGGATTCGTTCGTGCGGCCTCTGCCAAAACCCACGAGGCGTCGACGACGACGTGGGATGTCGATTTTACGACCCCGCTGCTATCTCCACTTTACTGCCCCGATAGTATCAGCCAAGGTCGCTCCGTGCGTACCCAACGCTCACCTGCAGTGGCGGAGTGGGGGCGGGCGATGGGGCGGCTAAATGAGTTACCCATTAACGCAAACCGCAAACCCTCCCATGCAGGCCCCCGTCACCCCACACTAATCCCAGATGCTCCCCCCCGCCGCCCGGCCACGCGGCCAAAGCCCGGCACAGGCCGTGAGCGGGGATCGTACCGGGGAATCCAAGTAGCTACAATCACCCCGGAATGGCTCGCTCTGGACACCACTGCCACCCCTCGCACCCTGCCCGTCTCTCCAGCCGGTGGCGTTTCTCTGACCAAACCGACCGCTCGTTGTTGTTTGTTGTGATATTTTGACGACCCTAGGAAAAAAATCAACCAGGACGGGTGGTAAACCTAGCCATTCCAAACGCAGTCAAGCTAACCTAACCATAACAAAAGCCGTACCACACCCGGTCAAGCTAACCTAACCATAACCTTTGCCATTTTTCGTTCGAATTTGGTAAAAACTATTTTTTTTAAACTGCACTGTATGTGAATGCGAGACAGTGGTCCTTAATGAGTAACGTCACGAAGCACTCCTTAGATTGAAGAGCCACGTGCAGCTCTGAAGCTGCAGGTTGCCGACCCCTGCCCTAGCCATACTGCAGCCAGTCTAGCTGGCCTAACCATAACCCTAGCCCTACCACACCTGGTCTAGCTGGCCTAACCATAACCCTAGCCCTACCACACCTGGTCTAGCTGGCCTAACCATAACCCTAGCCGTACCACACCCAGTCTAGCTGGCCTAACCATAACCCTAGCCCTACCACACCCGGTCTAGCTGGCCTGACCATAACCCTAGCTGTACCACACCTGGTCTAGCTGGCCTAACCATAACCCTAGCTGTACCACACCCGGTCAAGCTGGCCTAACCATAGCCCTAGCTGTACCACACCTGGTCTAGCTGGCCTAACCATAACCCTAGCTGTACCACACCCGGTCAAGCTGGCCTAACCATAGCCCTAGCTGTACCACACCCGGTCTAGCTGGCCTAACCATAACCCTAGCTGTACCACACCCGGTCTAGCTTGCCTAACCATAACCCTAGCCCTACCACACCCGGTCTAGCTGGCCTGACCATAACCCTAGCTGTACCACACCCGGTCTAGCTAGCCTAACCATAACCCTAGCTGTACCACACCCGGTCTAGCTAGCCTAACCCTAACCCTAGCTGTACCACACCCGGTCTAGCTAGCCTAACCATAACCCTAGCTGTACCACACCCGGTCTAGCTAGCCTAACCATAACCCTAGCTGTACCACACCCGGTCTAGCTAGCCTAACCATACCCCTAGCTGTACCACACCAGGTCTAGCTGGCCTAACCATAACCCTAGCCCTACCACACCCGGTCTAGCTAGCCTAACCATAACCCTAGCTGTACCACACCAGGTCTAGCTGGCCTAACCATAACCCTAGCCCTACCACACCCGGTCTAGCTAGCCTAACCATAACCCTAGCTGTACCACACCAGGTCTAGCTGGCCTAACCATAACCCTAGCCCTACCACACCCGGTCTAGCTGGCCTAACCATAACCCTAGCCCTACCACACCTGGTCTAGCTGGCGTAACCATAACCCTAGCCCTACCACACCCGGTCTAGCTGGCCTAACCATAACCCTAGCTGTACCACACCCGATCTAGCTGGCCTAACCATAACCCTAGCCCTACCACACCTGGTCTAGCTGGCCTAACCATAACCCTAGCGCTACCACACCCGGTCTAGCTGGCCTAACCATAACCCTAGCCCTACCACACCTGGTCTAGCTGGCCTAACCATAACCCTAGCCCTACCACACCTGGTCTAGCTGGCCTAACCATAACTCTAGCCCTACCACACCTGGTCTAGCTGACCTAACCATAACCCTAGCCCTACCACACCCGGTCTAGCTTGCCTAACCATAACCCTAGCCCTACCACACCCGGTCTAGCTTGCCTAACCATAACCCTAGTTGTACCACACCCGGTCTAGCTGGCCTAACCATAACCCTAGCCGCACCATACCCAGTCAAGCTATCCTAACCATAACCCTCGCCGTACCACAACCTGGCAGTGAGTACATTTTTTGTCAAATGACCTTTGACCCGCTCCCCTGGATGACCTCTGACCCCCAGGTTCAATCGGCAGTGCGTGGTGGACAAGGACAAACGCAACCAGTGCCGCTACTGCCGCCTGCGCAAGTGCTTCCGTGCGGGGATGAAGAAGGAGGGTGAGCGGAGGCAATCAGATGGAAAAGCCGTTAATCCCAAAGGGAAACCCTATTAAAAGCGAGAGAAAATTAAATTCGGAACCCATGGAAAATATCTCATTAAAGCTCAGTGGTAATTCTGTAAAAAAGCCGACGTAAAATTACTTTAAAACACAGAAAAAAATGAATTAAACCGCATTGAAAATCAAAAAATTTACCACAAAAAATCCCATAAAAATCCCATTAAATCAGGAATAACCCCATTAATAATCTATAGAAATTTCCACTGAAAACACATTAAACACATAACAACCCAGAGAAACTCCATTAAACTCATAGATAATCCTAATATCCAGTGAAATCCCATCAAAACACAGTGAAACTTCCATTAAATTCAATAAAAACTCCCATTAAACCCCATAGAAAATACCATTAAAATACAGATAAAATCCCATTAGACCCATTAAGACCCAGAAAAACCTCATTAGACCCATAAAACCCCATAAAACCCCAGAGAACCCCTCCCTCCCCCCATTACACCTCTTTAAAATCTCATTAAACTCAGACTTACTACACCTGGGACAGCTAGCCTGACCCATAAGCCGAGTGGTGTTGACGATCTTGTGCTGCACCCCCAAAATCATCTCACCGCCACCCCCTACTCCCCACTGTCCCCACCTCACCCCAAACCCCTCACTCCCCCCTCAAGCAGCCGTGCAGAATGAGAGAGATCGGATCGCCCTGCGGAGACCGAGCTATGAGGAGGTGGGGTCGCTCTCAATCAGCAGCCTCGTGCAGGCTGAGGCCCTCTCCAGACAGGTGCCCTTAACCTAACATGGCACCCTCACTTTAACATGGCGCCCTCACTCTAACATGGCACACTCACTCTAACATGGCACCCTCACTCTAACATGGCACCTTCACTCTAACATGGCACCTTCACTCTAACATGGCACACTCACTCTAACATGACACCTTCACTCTAACATGGCACCTTCACTCTAACATGGCACCCTCACTCTAACATGGCACCTTCACTCTAACATGGCACCCTCACTCTAACATGGCACCCTCACTCTAACATGACACCTTCACTCTAACATGGCACCCTCACTCTAACACGACACCCTCACTCTAACATGGCACCCTCACTCTAACATGGCACCCTCACTCTAACATGACACCCTCACTCTAACATGAGACCCTCACTCTAACATGGCACCCTCACTCTAACATGGCACCCTCACTCTAACATGGCACACTCACTCTAACATGGCACCCTCACTCTAACATGACACCCTCACTCTAACATGACACCCTCACACTAACATGGCACTCTCACTCTAACATGGCACCCTCACACTAACATGGCACCCTCACTCTAACATGGCACCCTCACTCTAACATGGCACCCTCACTCTAACATGGCGCTCTCACTCTAACATGACGCCTTCACTCTAACATGGCACCCTCACTCTAACATGGCACCCTCACTCTAACATGACACCTTCACTCTAACATGACACCTTCACTCTAACATGGCACCCTCACTCTAACATGGCGCCCTCACTCTAACATGGCGCTCTCACTCTAACATGGCACCCTCACTCTAACATGGCGCTCTCACTCTAACATGGCGCTCTCACTCTAACATGGCGCTCTCACTCTAACATGGCGCTCTCACTCTAACATGGCACCCTCACTCTAACATGGCACCCTCACTCTAACATGGCACCCTCACTCTAACATGGCGCCCTCACTCTAACATGGCGCCCTCACTCTAACATGGCGCCCTCACTCTAACATGGCGCTCTCACTCTAACATGGCGCTCTCACTCTAACATGGCACCCTCACTCTAACATGGCACCCTCACTCTAACATGGCGCACTCACTCTAACATGGCGCTCTCACTCTAACATGGCGCTCTCACTCTAACATGGCGCTCTCACTCTAACATGGCGCTCTCACTCTAACATGGCGCCCTCACTCTAACATGGCGCCCTCACTCTAACATGGCGCTCTCACTCTAACATGGCGCTCTCACTCTAACATGGCACCCTCACTCTAACATGGCACCCTCACTCTAACATGGCGCCCTCACTCTAACATGGCGCTCTCACTCTAACATGGCGCTCTCACTCTAACATGGCGCTCTCACTCTAACATGGCGCTCTCACTCTAACATGGCACCCTCACTCTAACATGGCACCCTCACTCTAACATGGCACCCTCACTCTAACATGGCGCTCTCACTCTAACATGGCGCTCTCACTCTAACATGGCACCCTCACTCTAACATGGCACCCTCACTCTAACATGACACTCTCACTCTAACATGGCACCTTCACTCTAACATGACACCTTCACTCTAACATGGCACCTTCACTCTAACATGACACCCTCACTCTAACATGACACCCTCACTCTAACATGGCACCCTCACTCTAACATGGCACCCTCACTCTAACATGGCACCCTCACTCTAACATGGCACCCTCACTCTAACATGGCGCCCTCACTCTAACATGGCGCTCTCACTCTAACATGGCGCTCTCACTCTAACATGGCGCTCTCACTCTAACATGGCACCCTCACTCTAACATGGCACCCTCACTCTAACATGGCACCCTCACTCTAACATGACACTCTCACTCTAACATGGCGCCTTCACTCTAACATGACACCTTCACTCTAACATGGCACCTTCACTCTAACATGACACCCTCACTCTAACATGGCACCCTCACTCTAACATGGCACCCTCACTCTAACATGGCACCTTCACTCTAACATGGCACCCTCACTCTAACATGGCACCTTCACTCTAACATGACACACTCACTCTAACATGACACACTCACTCTAACATGACACTCTCACTCTAACATGGCACCCTCACTCTAACATGGCACCCTCACTCTAACATGGCACCCTCACTCTAACATGGCACCTTCACTCTAACATGGCACCCTCACTCTAACATGGCACCCTCACTCTAACATGGCACCCTCACTCTAACATGGCACTCTCACTCTAACATGACACCCTCACTCTAACATGGCACCTTCACTCTAACATGACACCCTCACTCTAACATGACACCCTCACTCTAACATGACACCCTCACTCTAACATGACACCCTCACTCTAACATGACACCCTCACTCTAACATGACACCCTCACTCTAACATGACACCCTCACTCTAACATGACACCCTCACTCTAACATGACACCCTCACTCTAACATGACACCCTCACTCTAACATGGCACCCTCACTCTAACATGGCACCCTCACACTAACATGACACCCTCACTCTAACATGACACCCTCATTCTAACATGACACCCTCACTCTAACATGACACCCTCTCTCTAACATGGCACCCTCACTCTAACATGGCACCTTCACTCTAACATGGCACCCTCAATCTAACATGGTACCCTCACTCTAACATGGCACCTTCACTCTAACATGGCACACTCACTCTAACATGGCACCCTCACTCTAACATGGCACCTTCACTCTAACATGACACCCTCACTCTAACATGGCACCTTCACTCTAACATGGCACCTTCACTCTAACATGGCACCCTCACTCTAACATGGCACCTTCACTCTAACATGGCACCTTCACTCTAACATGGCACCCTCACTCTAACATGGCGCTCTCACTCTAACATGGCACCCTCACTCTAACATGGCACCCTCACTCTAACATGGCACCCTCACTCTAACATGACACTCTCACTCTAACATGGCGCCTTCACTCTAACATGACACCTTCACTCTAACATGGCACCTTCACTCTAACATGACACCCTCACTCTAACATGGCACCCTCACTCTAACATGGCACCCTCACTCTAACATGGCACCTTCACTCTAACATGGCACCCTCACTCTAACATGGCACCTTCACTCTAACATGACACACTCACTCTAACATGACACACTCACTCTAACATGACACTCTCACTCTAACATGGCACCCTCACTCTAACATGGCACCCTCACTCTAACATGGCACCCTCACTCTAACATGGCACCTTCACTCTAACATGGCACCCTCACTCTAACATGGCACCCTCACTCTAACATGGCACCCTCACTCTAACATGGCACCCTCACTCTAACATGACACCCTCACTCTAACATGGCACCTTCACTCTAACATGACACCCTCACTCTAACATGACACCCTCACTCTAACATGACACCCTCACTCTAACATGACACCCTCACTCTAACATGACACCCTCACTCTAACATGACACCCTCACTCTAACATGACACCCTCACTCTAACATGACACCCTCACTCTAACATGACACCCTCACTCTAACATGGCACCCTCACTCTAACATGGCACCCTCACACTAACATGACACCCTCACTCTAACATGACACCCTCATTCTAACATGACACCCTCACTCTAACATGACACCCTCTCTCTAACATGGCACCCTCACTCTAACATGGCACCTTCACTCTAACATGGCACCCTCAATCTAACATGGTACCCTCACTCTAACATGGCACCTTCACTCTAACATGGCACACTCACTCTAACATGGCACCCTCACTCTAACATGGCACCTTCACTCTAACATGACACCCTCACTCTAACATGGCACCTTCACTCTAACATGGCACCTTCACTCTAACATGGCACCCTCACTCTAACATGGCACCTTCACTCTAACATGACACCTTCACTCTAACATGGCACCCTCACTCTAACATGGCACCCTCACTCTAACATGGCACCCTCACTCTAACATGACACCCTCACTCTAACATGGCACCCTCACTCTAACATGGCACCTTCACTCTAACATGGCACCCTCACTCTAACATGGCACCCTCACTCTAACATGACACCCTCACTCTAACATGGCACCTTCACTCTAACATGGCACCCTCACACTAACATGACACCTTCACTCTAACATGGCACCCTCACTCTAACATGGCACCCTCACTCTAACATGGCAACTTCACTCTAACATGGCACCCTCACTCTAACATGGCACACTCACTCTAACATGACACCTTCACACTAACATGACACCCTCACTCTAACATGGCACCCTCACTCTAACATGGCACCTTCACTCTAACATGGCACCCTCACTCTAACATGGCACACTCACTCTAACATGACACCTTCACTCTAACATGGCACCCTCACTCTAACATGGCACCCTCACTCTAACATGGCACCCTCACTCTAACATGGCACCCTCACTCTAACATGGCACATTCACTCTAACATGGCACCTTCACTCTAACATGACACACTCACTCTAACATGACACCCTCACACTAACATGGCACCTTCACTCTAACATGGCACCCTCACTCTAACATGGCACCCTCACTCTAACATGGCACCCTCACTCTAACATGGCACCTTCACTCTAACATGGCGCTCTCACTCTAACATGGCACCTTCACTCTAACATCGCACCTTCACTCTAACATGGCACCTTCACTCTAACATGGCACCCTCACACTAACATGACACCTTCACTCTAACATGGCACCCTCACTCTAACATGGCACCCTCACTCTAACATGGCACCCTCACTCTAACATGGCACCCTCACTCTAACATGGCACCCTCACTCTAACATGGCACCCTCACTCTAACATGGCACCCTCACTCTAACATGGCCCCCTCACTCTAACATGACACCTTCACTCTAACATGGCACCCTCACTCTAACATGGCACCCTCACTCTAACATGACACCCTCACTCTAACATGGCACCTTCACTCTAACATGGCGCCCTCACTCTAACATGACACCTTCACTCTAACATGGCACCTTCACTCTAACATGGCACCCTCACTCTAACATGACACCCTCACTCTAACATGGCACCCTCACTCTAACATGACACCCTCCCTCTAACATGACACCCTCACTCTAACATGGCACCCTCACTCTAACATGGCACCCTCACTCTAACATGGCACCATCACTCTAACATGACACACTCACTCTAACATGGCACCCTCACTCTAACATGACACCCTCACTCTAACATGGCACACTCACTCTAACATGGTACCCTCACTCTAACATGGCACCCTCACTCTAACATGGCACCCTCACTCTAACATGGCACACTCACTCTAACATGGTACCCTCACTCTAACATGGCACCCTCACTCTAACATGGCACCCTCACTCTAACATGGGGTCCTCACTCAAGCGTGGCACTCTCGGTCTTTACGATGACGCTCTCACCCTCACTGATGTGCCGACTTCACCTTCACGAGCACGTGCCCCTAAAGTCCGTTCGGGCGATACGGTAAAATACAGGTTCGAATTTAAAGTTCTTGTATTGGCCTTCAGCGCCATGACAGGGCGTTAGTGGCTCCATTATATCTCGGAGATGTGCTGAAACCGTACTCTGCCCCTGTCCGGCAACTTTGATCCACCAAATCCGGGCACCCCGAGTATACTGAGGACAAATCTGCATGCAATGGGTGGTGATAGAGCTTTCAGGAGTCAGGGCGTTTCGCTTGTGGGATGTTTTGCCCCAGTCCGTCAGGGACGCTCCGTCAGTCGAGCTTTTGAAGGCTCGCCTGAAAACACATTTATTTTCTCCTGCATATCCGTCTGTGCGGGGTTGTCTTACTCACTGTTGTAATGTTAAGGCTTTTTTGTTGTCAAGCGCCGTGGGGCCTTGCGCGAACAGCACTATTTAAAACCGAGTTTGACTCACTTCACCTCACACGGGGGGGGGGGGGTGTTCTTTGTCTCTGTGCGCATAGATCACGGGGGCCAGGGAAGTGGGGGGCTCGGGGGACGGCGGGGGGCCCGTGCGCAAGCTGGCCGGGGTGCAGGACGTGTGCGAGTCGATGAAGCAGCAGCTGCTGGTGCTGGTCGAGTGGGCCAAGTACATCCCGGCCTTCTGCGACCTGCCCCTAGACGACCAGGCACGGCGACTCGCACTCCTCATCTATCACGTGACCCACCCTCCTCACCAATCAAGTTACTTGCCGACTTCACCAATTAAGTCACTCACCCACCTAACCAATCACGCGACTCACCCTCCTCACCAATCAAGTGACACGTTGTCTTCACCAATTAGGTGACTCGCCCATCTCACCAATCACGTGACTCTCCCACCTCACCAATCACGTGACACGCCCTCCTCACCAATCAAGTGACTCGTTGTCTTCACCAATCAAGTGACACGTTGTCTTCACCAATCACGTGACTCTCCCACCTCACCAATCACGTGACACGCCCTCCTCACCAATCAAGTGACACGTTGTCTTCACCAATCAAGTGACACGTTGTCTTCACCAATCACGTGACTCTCCCACCTCACCAATCACGTGACACGCCCTCCTCACCAATCACGTGTCTTGCCCTCACCAATCGTGCAACTCGCCCATCTCGCCAAGCAAGTGACTCATCCCTCACGTGTCCTGCTCACCGCTCACCCCTCGTGTGCCCCCCTCACCCTTCGCGTGCCCCCCTCACCAGGTGTCTCTGCTGAGAGCTCACGCTGGCGAGCACCTCCTTCTTGGGGTCTCCAAGCGCTCCCTGCCCTACAAGGAGCTGCTGCTGCTCGGTGAGCACCACACTCACACGGACAAAGGTGCCCCGTATAGTCTTCAACACACCGTTGGGGCGAGCGCTGGTCCTGAGCACCTATGAAGGCCGGCACGGCGCACGAGGGGGTGAGTGGCCAGCACCACGCCCAGTGGCGATGCTCATTTGAGGCCGAGTCGGCCTAGGGGAGGCCCAGGACCGCTTCAGATAAATCACTCACCGATGTTTGGATGGAAAGTGAGTGGGAGTCAAACTCGGGCCATTCGGTTCGCAGTGCGGCGTGCTAACCACTGCACCGCCGCTCTTCACAACTGCTGAGAAGTGTCGATCCCGTTGCCGTGCGTTCACTGGCGAGGCCGTTGCCATGGTTTCACTGGTGAGGCCGTTGCCATGCGTTCACTGGCGATCCCGTTGCCATGGTTTCACTGGTGAGGCCGTTGCCATGGGTTCACTGGCGAGGCCGTTGCCATGGGTTCACTGGTGAGGCCGTTGCCATGGGTTCACTGGTGAGGCCGTTGCCATGGGTTCACTGGCGATCCCGTTGCCATGGGTTCACTGGCGATCCCGTTGCCATGGGTTCACTGGCGATCCCGTTGCCATGGGTTCACTGGTGAGGCCGTTGCCATGGGTTCACTGGCGATCCCGTTGCCATGGGTTCACTGGCGATCCCGTTGCCATGGGTTCACTGGCGATCCCGTTGCCATGGGTTCACTGGCGATCCCGTTGCCATGGGTTCACTGGCGAGGCCGTTGCCATGGGTTCACTGGCGATCCCGTTGCCATGGGTTCACTGGCGATCCCGTTGCCATGGGTTTACTGGCGATCCCGTTGCCATGGGTTCACTGGCGATCCCGTTGCCATGGGTTCACTGGTGAGGCCGTTGCCATGGGTTCACTGGCGATCCCGTTGCCATGGGTTCACTGGCGATCCCGTTGCCATGGGTTCACTGGCGATCCCGTTGCCATGGGTTCACTGGCGATCCCGTTGCCATGGGTTCACTGGCGAGGCCGTTGCCATGGGTTCACTGGCGATCCCGTTGCCATGGGTTCACTGGCGATCCCGTTGCCATGGGTTCACTGGCGATCCCGTTGCCATGGGTTCACTGGCGATCCCGTTGCCATGGGTTCACTGGTGAGGCCGTTGCCATGGGTTCACTGGCGAGGCCGTTGCCATGGGTTCACTGGCGATCCCGTTGCCATGGGTTCACTGGTGAGGCCGTTGCCATGGGTTCACTGGTGAGGCCGTTGCCATGGGTTCACTGGTGAGGCCGTTGCCATGGGTTCACTGGTGATCCCGTTGCTATGGGTTCACTGGCGATCCTGTTGTCATGGGTTCACCGGCGATCCCATTGCCATGGGTTCACTGGCGATCCCGTTGTCATGGGTTCACTGGCGATCCCGTTGTCATGGGTTCACTGGCGATCCCATTGCCATGGGTTCACCGGCGTGGCCATTGCTATGGGTTCACCGGCAAGCCGTTGCCATGCGTTCGCCTTACTGGGCCGCTGCGGCGTTCCCCGGCGTCTCGCCGCAGGCTCCGAGTCGGTGATTCCCAGGAACTGCCCCGAGCAGGAGCTGTGCCGCGTCTCGAACCGCGTTCTGGACGAGCTCGTGCGACCTTTCCGTGACCTCCAACTCGACGACGCGGAGTTCGCGTGCCTCAAGGCCATCGTCTTCTTTGACCCAGGTGAGAAACAAAATACTCCTGGAGCCCCGCGTGTGAACTCTGTGACAATCTTAATTTTGGAGCTTTCGTGACTGCAGGAATTATTCTTTGGTTCTTTCGGTAAAGTGACGTATAAAGATAAAATAATAAATTAAATAATAGCATACTACGACGTTTCGATTGCAACACAAGCAATCGTCATCAGGTATAAATGAAATAGAAAACACAAATCTAGTATACTTATAAATGTAATGTAATACAACAGAGAGTCGGATAACATAACAGTCAACGCCCTACCTATACACTACTACACACTACACTATACACTACAATACACTACGCATTGTTGACTGCATACCAGGAGGTATGCAGTCAACAATGCTTGACTCAGGGAGGAGGACGCCCCTGCCATGCATAGTCCCATGGGATGTTGGCTACCAACAACAAGGCAACTCCTATGACTAATTGGGAATGGGACGCAAGCGTAGGATTGATCACCCTGTCGCTGGCCGCCTTTGGGGAGGGTGTATAGTATGAAAGGCCGAAACACCCTAGGAACCAAAGGGTCACTACTGACGATGCGCTCCCCAAATTTCACCAGGCTCACTGTTCATGAACTCTTGGAAGTGCTTGCACAAAGGATAGTAACATCTCATCCTGTGTTCTTTGGAATCTACAACAGAGAGTCTGATAACATAACAGTCAACGCCCTACCTATACACTACTACACACCACACTACACACTACAATACACTACTACACTATACACTATTACAACAGAGAGTCTGATAACATAACAGTCAACGCCCTACCTATACACTACTACACACTACACTATACACTACAATACACTACTACACTATACACTACTACAACAGAGAGTCTGATAACATAACAGTCAACGCCCTACCTGCTTGATTACGTTCTTCCTGAGAATGCTAAATTTGCAAGAGAGAGAGAGAGATAAAACACAGAACCAGAGACACAGAGACAGACACATAAGCAGAGACAGATATCACAGAGATACATAGAGAGAGGGTCATAGAGTTATCCTTTGGTTCTTTCGGTAAAGTCACGTATAAAGATAAAATAATAAATTAAATAATAGCATACTACGACGTTTCGATTGCAACACAAGCAATCATCATCAGGTATAAAAGAAATAGCAACAAAAATCTAACCAGAAAACTATAGACAGACATATAAGCAGACAGACATCATAAAGATACACAGAGAGAGAACACGTATCGGCACAAAGAGAGAGGTCGTCTCTGTGACGAGGCCTTACATATAGAGAGGGGGCGGGGGCGGAGAGAGGGAGGGGGCAGAGACATGCTAATTTTTTCTCTGTCCCCTCCCTCTCTCCGCCCCCGCCCCCTCTCTATATTTAAGGCCCCGTCACAGAGACGACCTCTCTCTTTGTGCCGATACGTGTTCTCTCTCTCTCTGTGTATCTTTATGATGTCTGTCTGCTTATATGTCTGTCTATAGTTTTCTGGTGAGATTTTTGTTGCTATTTCTTTTATACCTGATGATGATTGCTTGTGTTGCAATCGAAACGTCGTAGTATGCTATTATTTAATTTATTATTTTATCTTTATACGTGACTTTACCGAAAGAACCAAAGAATAACTGTATGACACTCTCTCTACGTATCTCTGTGATATCTGTCTCTACTTATATGTCTGTCTATATGTCTCTGGTTCTGTGTTTTATCTCTCTCTCAAATTTAGCATTCTCAGGAAGAACGTAATCAAGCAGGTAGGGCGTTGACTGTTATGTTATCAGACTCTCTGTTGTAGTAGTGTATAGTGTAGTAGTGTATTGTAGTGTATAGTGTAGTGTGTAGTAGTGTATAGGTAGGGTGTTGACTGTTATGTTATCAGACTCTCTGTTGTAGTAGTGTATAGTGTAGTAGTGTATTGTAGTGTATAGTGTAGTGTGTAGTAGTGTATAGGTAGGGTGTTGACTGTTATGTTATCCGACTCTCTGTTGTATTACATTACATTTATAAGTATACTAGATTTGTGTTTTCTATTTCATTTATACCTGATGACGATTGCTTGTGTTGCAATCGAAACGTCGTATGCTAGTATCTAATTTATTATTTATCTTTATACGTCACTTTACCGAAATAACCAAAGAGTCATTCCTGCAGTCACGAAAGCTCCAAATTGAGTTTCTATGACACTCGCCAACCTCTCATCTCTCGCTGGCTACTCCCCTCCGCGCACTCTTGGCTACGGCAGCCGTGGCTTTCTGTGGGAGCTCCCAGTCGACCTTCGCTCAAAGGGAGGCTGCTGATTCTTCTCTGGTGACCCCTATAGCAGAGGTCGCAAACGGGTTTTGATTCCTTACCCGTACCCGGCCGCACCAGGGTCACAAACGGGTACCCGTACCCGATACCCGGCCGGGTACGGGTAGCCGGGTATCGGGTCGGGTGCGGGTATCGGGTACCCGATTGTGACCTCTGGGATGAAGCCATGTTGCAGGCGTGGGTGGGTTGATTCTAGGAACTTGAATTGTGAGAAGAGACAAGACGTTGGGAAATGAGTGACAAACGGTGACTCACCGCCTACCCGTACCCGGCCGCACCAGAGTTGCAAACGGCTACCCGTACCCGGCCGGGTACGGGTAGCCGGGTATCGGGTAGGGTACGGGTATCGGGTACCCGATTGTGACCTCTGCCCTATAGTCTGGAACTACCCCCACCCACCCACCACCACCACCACCCCCCACCACCACCCCAGCCGTCTCCTTGCTCCCTGTTCAAATCCAGGCTCAAGACCTCCATCTGCACCTTCACTCTTCATGTAAAATACACCCAGTGCTACCCACACACCTGTAAACAACAACAACAACCGGCGATGTCACGGCAGAGCCCTCGTGCCAGGCTAGGTCCAGCTTGAGGTTATCACGTGGCGTGTGGAAGACTCGCTGCAGGCAGGGGGTCATGGGGCACACACAGGCGCCATGGGTCGACCGACCGAGACGTCTGGCAGATGCACCACCCGGTGGTACGTGTGGTCAGTGGTGAGGCTGTGGATGAGTGTGGGTGGTGAGGCTGTGGGTCAGTGTGGGGGTGGTGAGGCTGTGGCCGAGTGGGGGTGGTGAGCGCTCACCCGGTGTGCGTGACCTCGCTGTTGTTGCAGATGCGAAGGGATTGAGCGACGCTGCTCGAATCAAAGCGATGCGCTTCCACGTGCAGGTGAGTGGCGTGCGCGAGGGTGAGCGACGGTAGCTGAGGGTGAGTGACTGGTGAGAGACCAGAGAGTGAGTGACCGGTGATTGAGTGACTGGTGACTTGGTGAGACGGGACATTGACCCATGAGTGACTCGTGCTCGCTCACCCCAGGTGCTGCTGGACTACATGACTAATCCATGTGCGTGCTCACCCACTCACTCGCTCACCCACTCACCCACTCGCTCACCCCAGGTGCTGCTGGAGGACTACGTGCCTAATCCATGTGGGTGCTCACCCACTTACTCGCTCACCCGCTCGCCCGCTCGCTCACCCCAGGTGCTGCTGGAGGACTACGTGACCGACCGCCAGTACGAGAGCCGCGGACGATTCGGCGAGCTGCTGCTGCTGCTGCCGGCGCTGCAGAGCATCACGTGGCAGCTCGTCGAGCAGGTCCACCTCCTCCGCCTCTTCGGCGTCGCCAAGGTGGACAACCTTCTGCAGGAGATGCTGCTCGGAGGTACGGCGGAGGGGCGGGAGGTTTCAGTCCGTCATCCTCCACGTCTCGCGAGGTGGCGTTATGAAGGGGCGAGAAATGCGGCAGAAGCTGGCGCGCAGCGGTGGCTCGGAGATGTTAACTCCCTCGCCTAGTATGCGGGAGGTCGTGGGTTCCATCTTGAGCCTGGCGCCTGTATTTTTAGAGTTTGCGGTGTCTCTCCCGCCGTGCTCGCGTGGATTTGTCTCCGGGTGCTCCGGTTTTCCGAATCAACATCACGCGTTTTGAGCACGTGGCTGCTGTTCTCAATGTCCATACGATGATGATGATGAGCCACTTTCGTTGAGCTATATAGCAGCTCAGCGGGGCCTTACCTGCTAAAATAAAACGACATCGTTTTAATTGCTTCCCTCTCGCGGGCTTTAACCCGTTGCGCTTTTGCGGCTTTCGCGCCAGCGTTTGATTGAGGCCACACGGCTCGCCGAACGCGCCTCCCCGCCCCGCCGGATGGGAACGGCGGTCAAGAATAATAGCGACGGAGCGGCAGCCGGGCAATGGTCCGTGTCCGACGGGAGGTCGTCCACGCAGGCGGGAGATGGAGCGGTGGAATTGGTTAATTTGCTGCGGTTTGGAGCAGCGGTCGGTAAATGGCGGCTTTGAGGCCGGCTGCAAGTGGCTCTTTGGCTGCCCCCTTGCGGGCAGCCGCTTAAAAAAAAATCAACAAAAAATATTTTAAATCTAAAACGTAATTTCACCTAAGGGTAATGGGCAATCTTCTTGGTTCTTTCGGTAAAGTCACGCAGAAGGGAAATAATAAAAAAAATTAAACATAATAAAATCATTCTCACGACGGCTGCTTGCGTTGTGGCCGAAACGTCGTGAGAATTGTATTTTATACTGGTAGGAACGAAGTGGACCAGACCACCAATAGATTAATGTGTCCGTCCGTCCGTCCGTGTATCAACATCGCCCCCTACTGCAAACACTTGGCATGACTCTACAAAAACCTTTAGACTCAGTGACGCTATCCTGGTAGCAACATCGCCCCCTACTGCAAACACTTGGCATGACCCTACAAAAACCTTTAGACTCAGTGACGCTATCCTGGCTGAACAAGTGTAACATTCCCTTAAAATTCCCTCAGATAGCTTTTAATTTAAACATTTAAATTAATGAGGCTTTCCTGGCTAAACACGTGTAACATTCCCTTATAATTCCCTGAGATAGCTCTTAATTTAAACTTTGAAATTAAATAAAAAACTCACAGCGACCTAATAATTCCCTGAGATAGCTTTTAATGAAAACTTTCAAATTAAATAAAAAAAACTCACAGCGCCCTAAAGCCTACAGCTAGGCCTAAAGCCTAGAACTAGGCCTGAAACTCTCCCTTCGTATCGTACCCCCGCGTGTGTGAAAGGGAGTTATGTTTAACAATGTTACATTCCCTCATGTTTTTAAATATAAACATTTAAATTTAAAGCTTTTACAATAATCATTAAAACATTTAAATTAAAAATTAACTCACAGCGCCCTAAAGCCTACAGCTAGGCCTAAAACCTAGAACTAGGCCTCAATCTCTCCCTTCGTATCGTCCGATTAGGTGTAGCAACATCGCCCCCTACTGCAAACACTTGGCAGGACCCTACAAAAACCTTTTGACTCAGTGGGGCTTTCCTGGCTTAACAAGTGTAATAATACATTATGTTTACATTCTTTGGTTATTCGTTCCTACCAGCCCACCCCGCAGGGTCCTGTTTATGTTTTATTTTTATTATTTTATTACTTCCCTTCTGCGTGACTTTACCGAAAGAACCAAGAAGATGAATCCCTGCAGTCACGAAAGCTTTCAATCGAAATGTAATCGGCAATGTATTAAATACAACAGGGAATGGGAGTGTCACTATTTGATGTTTTCGCGACAACACAATGAACTACAGTCAAGCTGTGTGAGTGTTAACGAATAACTGAAAAACGAAATAGACGCCGTTTATTCCATCACCTATTTTGTTGATTGTAGTCAGAATTTTTTTCTCGTCGGCTGTATACCCGCTTGGTGTGTTTGTGTGTACAAGTTGCTGTAGCGTGTGACGCGGCTCTCAAACTATTTTGTCTATTCAAGTCAGAATGCGTGGTGTTGTCATTGGCTGTGTGCCCGCTTGCTGTGTTTGTGTGTACAAGTTGCTGTAGCGTGTGACGCGGCTCTCAAACTATTTTGTCTATTCAAGTCAGAATGCGTGGTGTTGTCATTGGCTGTGTGCCCGCTTGCTGTGTTTGTGTGTACAAGTTGCTGTAGCGTGTGACGCGGCTCTCAAACTATTTTGTCTATTCAAGTCAGAATGCGTGGTGTTGTCATTGGCTGTGTGACCGCTTGCTGTGTTTGTGTGTACAAGTAGCTAGCTGCCCGTGCTATTTTGGTCAAAGACCAAGACAAAAAACGGCTCTTCGTCTTCTTCTGCTTTGAGAGGTTGCCGACCCCTGGCCTAGAGTCATGGATAGAGGAGGAAGGGCGGAAGAGGAAGATTGCTGCTCAGGGCGATTCCAAATCCGCTTGAATTTGGCACGGGTTTGGGCTGTGAAGCCGTCGACCTGCTGCGGTTAAATCTCAGTGACGGCCAAACACGAAGTGGCCGAGAGAAATCCTCGGCAGTGCCGGGGAGCGGTGGGCCCAGTGGTTAGCGTGGACCCGGCCGCCAGCTCGCTCGCCGACGCCGCTGGCGAATATCTGAACCGGTCCTGGGCCTTCCCTAGGTCGGCTCAGCCTGAAATGAGTACCTGGTTGCAGTGCGTAGTAGATATCAGCACCGGCGAGGCAAAGCGAGCGTGGTTGCCGGCCACCTCACCGGCTCATGCGCCGTACCGGCGCTCGCTAGCGGCACTTGCCCCAACGGACTGTTCGAGGCTACACGGGGGGCCTTTGTCTTTGTGCGCGCGCAGGAGTGACGGCCGACGCTGCACCCGCCGGCCAGGCGCCCGCTCACCCCGCTCACCCCGCTCACCCCCAGCTCCTGCCCCACCTGCCTCACCTGCCTCACCTGCCCGCTCACCCCCCTCACCAGCAGCAGCAGCAGCCGCCGCCCCCTTCCCGCTCCCCAGACCCCCCGCATCACTTCCTGGGCAACTCTGGCAGTGGGCACCCGGTCATCATCAGCAACCCCATGGCGACGCAGCACACCATGCAGCACACCGCTCACCTGTGTGAGTAGACGCTCACCACCACCACCATGTAGCACACCGCTGTTTGTGTTTGTGTGTCTGTGTGTGTGCACGTTGGTTAGGAACATTTAGGCTGGCCTGCCTACGATCCATCCTGGGTTTAACCAGGCTGGATTGTGTGAGGAGCTCACAAATCCTTGAAAGATCTGGGCAAAGTCCCATCGGTGAGCTCCTCCGGCAGGCAAGGCTGCGCCCTCCAACAACAACGGAGGGATAGAGGAGCGACGCTCACAACAACGAGCGGAGCGCCGGGTGGCTAAAGCACAGCAAGTTGGCACAGTAGGGGGCACAGGTGGTGCATCAGCCAGTCATCTCGGTCATCTCAGTGAGTCGACCCGTGGCACCTGCAGGGTCGGGTCTGCCCCGTGACCTCCTGCCAGCGGGCGTTCGACACTTCACGTGGCCTCAAGGTGCACATGGCCTGGCACAAGCGTCGTGGTGATGTCACCGCCACTTAGTGGCGAATGGCGGTTGTTGTTGTTGTGCGCGTCCGTGGGGAGCAGTAGTGGAGCGGTTAGCGCTGCGCTGCGAATCTGGCGACCCAGGTTCGATTCCCGCTCACGGCCAACACCAGTGACGATTATCTTAACCGGTCCTCGGCCACCCCTAGGTCGACTCAGCCTCAAATGAGTACCTGGTGCAATGTGTAAACAACGCCACTAGGGAGGCAAAGGCGGCCGGGCGTGGTGTTGGCCACCCACCCCCTCGTGTGCCGTGCCGGCCTTCGTAGATGCTCGCTAACAGCGCTTGCCCCAACAGTCTGTTACAGGCTACACGGGGGATCTTTGTCTTTGTGTGCGCGTGTGGTGCGTGTCTCTGCGTCGCAGCCACCCCGGACACGCCGCTCCCGTCTCCTCCCGGGAGCTCCCCCCCTGGGGGTCCCGATCCCTACAAGATGAGGGGGGGGGCCCTGCCCCACGAGGGTCGCCCACCCTCCCCATCCCACACATCCCACACAGTGCTCACCAAGCGGGAGACTCAGTGACTCTGCACAACAGGAGCACACCTGCTGTACACGCCGGCAGTAGCACACCTGTACACACCTGCAGAAACAGTGGCACATCTGTACACACCTGTAATGACACACCTGTAATGACACACCTGTACACAACTGTAATGACACACCTGTACATACCTGTACACGCCTGCAGCACACCTGTACACACCTGCAGGAGCACACCTGTACACACCTGCAGGAGCACACCTGTACACGCCAGCAGTAGCACACCTGTACACGCCTGCAGAAACAGTGGCACACCTGTACACACCTGTAATGACACACCTGTAATGACACACCTGTACATACCTGTGCACACCTGCAGGAGCACGCCTGTACACGCCTGCAAAAACAGTGGCACACCTGTACACACCTGTAATGACACACCTGTAATGACACACCTGTACATACCTGTGCACACCTGCAGGAGCACACCTGTACACACCTGCAGAAACAGTGGCACACCTGTACACACCTGTAATGACACACCTGTACATACCTGTACACGCCTGCAGCACACCTGTACACACCTGCAGGAGCACACCTGTACACACCTGCAGGAGCACACCTGTACACGCCTGCAGTAGCACACTTGTACACACCTGCAGAAACAGTGGCACACCTGTACACACCTGTAATGACACACCTGTACATACCTGTACACACCTGCAGCACACCTGTACACACCTGCAGGAGCACACCTGTACACACCTGCAGGAGCACACCTGTACACGCCTGCAGTAGCACACCTGTACACACCTGCAGAAACAGTGGCACACCTGTACACACCTGTAATGACACACCTGTACATACCTGTACACACCTGCAGCACACCTGTACACACCTGCAGGAGCACACCTGTACACACCTGCAGGAGCACACCTGTACACGCCTGCAGTAGCACACCTGTACACACCTGCAGAAACAGTGGCACACCTGTACACACCTGTAATGACACACCTGTACATACCTGTACACACCTGCAGTAGCAGTGGCACACCAGCTAAACACGCCGGCAGTACCAGTGGCACACCTTAACACACCTGCATGAGTAGTGGCACTCCCGTACACACCTGCAGTAGCAAACCTGCACACACCTATAATAGCACACCTGTACACACCTGTACAACCTGCAGAAGCACACCTGTACACACCTGTAATAGCACACCTGTACTCACCTATACACACCTTCAGGAACAGTGGCACACCTGTACACACCTGCAGTAGCACACCTGTACACACCTGCAGTAGCACACCTGTACACACCTGTACAGGAATCCCCCGCTCTACATAAGGGTTGTGTTCCTGAGAAATGCTACTTAACTCGAAATAACTTAAAAGCGAACTACTCTAAATTCCCATAAACATCTTAAAGTAAGGGGTTGAGTTCCTAACCGACATTTCAGGAATAAAATGCGTGACTAAATGTCGTGAAGTTTATTTAAAAAGAAACCCATCAGGTAGCATAGATTTTAACGAATAAAAAATACAAATAATTCGATAAAACTTACCAGAGATGGTAAAGCAAAGCTTATTGATCGACGACTGTGGAGTTATGCAGACGAAGGCCACGCATTCTCGCAAATATCGACAGCCTTTTCACATGCTTTATAACGACTTGAAACTTCTGATTTATCGTTGAGATTCTTTACCTTTCGCCTTTTCTTGCCAGAAGCGCTAACATAATTTTCCGTGCATTTAGCACTCACCTTTCTAAGGCCTTTGTACTGTAAAAAAAACTCACCGAACGCGACATTTCTACCTAACCACGTGCGCTGCGATCACACAAGATGGCGGTCTGGCAGACAAGGAGGCGGATCACGTGACGGAACGATATTCGGTGGTACGCGAATATTCGCCCAACGTGCGGCATTACATCGCAACATAGTCCGTGTGCGTTCCGAGTTAAAAAAAATGTTGCAAACATTTTTGGCGCAAATATATATTTTTTCGATCCATAATAGAGGTTTTCTTTGGGTTAGGTTGCGTGAATATAAATGTGTCGTTAAACCCGCCACCATCCAACACAGCCAATTAGTAATGTTTGTGATGTAAACAGAACGTGGCCGATTCGTTACTAGTACAGCAACACCGGTGTGTTAGAGAGCAAATCCACAACATTTACATAATATGACTTTGAAACCCCCCGCACACCTCCTACGCATTTCACAAGTAGTACTAATCACATACCTGCATTTCCCATAAATATGCTAAATTCATCTTGATATGCAAATTATTTTGTCAAGGCGCCCTTCCCCCCTTCCAACCCAGCTTAAATTGTCGCTCCAAGCGTGGTGGTGTTTCATTCAGACGCTGTCTCCCCGACAGACCTGTTCTTCACCTGAGGACGGCTGCTTGCGTTGTGGCCGAAACGTCGTGAGAATTATTTATTATGTTTTATTTTTATTATTTTATTACTTCCCTTCTACGTGACTTTACCGAAAGAACCAAGAAGATTTACAATCTAAGTACGACGTTTCGCCGGTAATTACAACCGGCATCATCAGGCGGCAGCCAGACTTGTAGAGAAATCCTCCTGCTTCGTTCCTTAAATAGAGGGATACTAATTGGCTGTGTCGGGTGGTGGCGGGTTTTAACGACACACATGTATATATTTACGCGATCTAACAAAAAAAATTAACCTCTATAATGGATGATATCGGTCGCGAAAGCCTACGTGTTGATATACATTTTTTAAACAACGCATATGCGAAACATTACACTTAAACGGAAATATGTTCCCTTATTAATCGGCAATGTATTTGCAAAACAACGCACGTGGAACCTTATCGCGGGGGATTCTTGTACACACCTACATTTGCTGCGGCACACCTGTACACACCTGCAGCAGTCCACCAGTACACACCTGTGGACAGTAGCCTCACACCTCTACACACCTGCAGCAGTGCACCAGCACACACCTGTGGACAGTAGCCTCACACCTGTACACACCTGCAGCAGTGCACCAGTACACACCTGTGGACAGTAGCCTCACACCTGTACACACCTGCAGCAGTGCACCAGCACACACCTGTGGACAGTAGCCTCACACTTGTACACACCTGCAGCAGTGCACCAGCACACACCTGTGGACAGTAGCCTCACACCTCTACACACCTGCAGCAGTGCACCAGCACACACCTGTGGACAGTAGCCTCACACCTGTACACACCTGCAGCAGTGCACCAGTACACACCTGTGGACAGTAGCCTCACACCTGTACACACCTGCAGCAGTGCACCAGCACACACCTGTGGACAGTAGCCTCACACTTGTACACACCTGCAGCAGTGCACCAGCACACACCTGTGGACAGTAGCCTCACATCTGTACACACCTGCAGCAGTGCACCAGTACACAACTGTGGACGGTAGCCTCACACCTGTACACACCTGCAGCAGTAGACCAGTACACACCTGTGGACAGTAGCCTCACACCTGTACGCGCCTGCAGCAGTGCACCAGTACACACCTGTGGACAGTAGCCTCACATCTGTACACACCTGCAGCAGTGCACCAGTACACACCTGTGGACGGTAGCCTCACACCTGTACGCACCTGCAGCAGTGCACCAGTACACACCTGTGGACAGTAGCCTCACACCTGTACACACAAGGAGTTGCAGCACACCTGTGCAAGACAAAGATAAAGATCCCCCGTGTAGCCTCAACACACTGTTGTGGCAAGTGCTGTCAGCGAGTAGTGCCTACGAAGGACAGCACGGTACACGAGGGGTGGGGGGTGGGGGGCAGCACCACGCCCGACCGCCTTTGTCTCCCCCAGTGGCGATGTTTACGCACCTCACCAGGTACTCATTGAGGCTGAGTCGACTTAGGGGGAGGCCCAGGACCGGTTCAGATAACCGTCACTGGTGTTGGCCGTGAGCGGGAACCGAACTCGGGCAGCCGGGGTCCGTAGCGCGGCGCGCTAACCGCTGCGCCACCGCTCCCCCGTGCACACCTGTGCAACACCTGGCACCTACGCCGCTGATGTGCCCTACAGGTGTGGGAGATCACCTGTACATACCTCACCTGGGGGCATTGGTGGTGCCACGGGGAAGGCTGTGGTGGGTGGGGGCGTGCGCGGTGCGGGGGGGGGGTCTTATACTGGTGTGGGGGGCCATCAACAGAATACGATTGGTGGGGGGGGGGGGCTGTGAGCAGATTGAGTTATTCTCAAATCACCCCGCCACAGGAACGTCAGACGGTCAGAATCCTCATCTCTCGCGGAGAAATCCGACGAGACTTGGAGCTCTCTTTTACCCGCAGGTCGTCCAGGTAAATGCCACCGCTGGCTTTGAACGGGAGCTGACCACCAACAACAACGCCTCAATGTAAGATATCGATTTCTTGACTTGAAGCTTTCGTGACTGCAGGAATAATTCATATTCTTGGGTCTTTCAGTAAAGTCACGTAGATTCTTTGAACATATCTACGTAGATAGGTTCTTTGAACCGAAAGACCCAATATTATTTATCTATTTCTGCTTTGGCTGTCATAGGGGGTAGGGCGTGCAGGGGTGGTGGGGGGTGGGGTTGTTTGTCCATACTTCGCCACTTTTGGTTGGTTAAACTAAAACTCAATCTCGATTTGAAGCATTCGTGACTGCAGGAATCCATATTCTTTGGTTCTTTCGGTAAAGTCACGTAGGTAGAAAAATAAATAATGAATCTCGACGTTTCTATCGCAACACAAGCAATCGTCATCAGGTGCAAAGATACAGCGGTAGGACTGCTGAACAAGAAAGGGCTGCTGCAACAAGAGATTATTCACTGGTCAACACACTTTTTCTGGCATAAGGTATTCCAACGGTTGTAAGGTAACTTTGGGGTGCTGATTCCAAATCTGGCATCAGTTTTTGTCTATCACATCAGGTTTTTGAGATATCAAATATTGCATTTTCAATAAAAACTGCAGAAGAAAAATATTAAATAAATGTGGCTATCTACATAAAATGACATTATAAACACACTATCCTAAAAATACAGCACCATATTTTAACACTAAAGCAGTCACTGACTCGCAACAACTTGCAATCATAAGTGACAGAGTTAATTTCGGGTAAAATCAATGAAAATGGGGTATGCCGATAGCATTAAAATGAGATGTGATAGAGCAAATCTGAGATCAGATTTGGAATCGGCACCCTGAAATAAGTCTAAAACAGCTGCAAAAGTCCAGGCCAGAAAATAATGTGTTTTTGTTGTTGACCAGTGTTATATGTGTAGGTGTGAGGTGGGTGTCACCCAAGGGTCAGTGGGCAGGGTCAGAGATCTTCTTGGTTCTTTCGGTAAAGTCACGTAAAATGTAAACAATAAAATAACAAAAATAAAACATAATAAAACAATTCTCACGACGTTTCGGCCACAACGCAAGCAGCCGTCCTCAGGTGGAGAACAGGTCTGTCGAGAAGACAGAGTCTGAATGAGACGCCCCAGGCTTAGAGCGACTATTTAAGCTGGGTTGGAGGGGCGAAGAGCGCTCAGACAAAATAATTTGCATATGAAGAGGAATTTAGCATATGTATGGGAAATGCAGATATGCGATTAGTACTACTTGTGAAATGCGTAGGAGGTTTGGCGAGCGGTTTACATTCTACGTGACTTTACCGAAAGAACCAAGAAGATGAATCCCTGCAGTCACGAAAGCTTTCAACCGGGGTCAGAGATGTCAATCTCTCCCTTGAACGCAGCTGCTGCGCATGTGTGCGGCGACGGGACACCTTTCCACCTCTGACCCCTCCCACTTACCCTTGGGTGACACCCACCTCACACCTGTAGATATGACCTCTTGTTGCAGAAGCCCTTTCTTGTTCGGCAGTTCTACCGCTGTATCTTTCCACCTCACGACGATTGCTTGTGCTGCGATCGAAGCCTCGTGATTTATGTTTTTGTTTTCTACCTACGTGACTTTACCGAAAGAACCAAAGAGTATGAACTAAGACTAAACCTTTTTATTTTAGCAGGCAAGGCCCACTAAGCTGCTACATAGCTTTTGTTTCTTTCTAGAAGCGACCTGGCCATCACAAATGATAGCTGACACGAAGTGGGCCCATCATCATCATCGTCATCTTTGTCATCATCATCGTCATCATCATCATCGTCATCATCGTCATCATCATCATCATCGTCATCATCATCATCGTCATCATCGTCATCATCATCATCATCATCGTCATCATCATCATCGTCGTCATCATCATCGTCATCATCATCGTCGTCATCATTATCGTCATCGTCGTCATCATCATCATCGTCGTCATCATCATCATCGTCGTCATCATCATCATCATCCGTCATCGTCGTCATCATCATCGTTATCATCATCATCATTGTCGTCATCATCGTCATCATCATCATCGTCGTGCGGACATTCATAGCAGCATCCAACTTCTCGCAAAACGCGTGACGTTGACTCTGAATGTGGAGGGGGGGGAAAACCGGAGAGACCCGGAGACAAAAATCCACGCGACCACGGGGGGAGCGAGAGAGAGAGAGACACGCATCACCACGGACTGCCTCCGATATTCCGGGCAACGACAAGCGCACAGTGCGCTAACCGCTGCGCCACCGCTCCCCCACCCCCTCCTATTCTACACGGATGAGACGAGGTATTCGGTGTTGCTGCTGCTGCACCTAGCCTGGCACAAGCGGGGTTGCTTGATTTGGACGTCAGGGCCGATGCGGTGAGTAGCATCGTCCATCGGAGATGAATCGACAAGAACAGCAGCAGCAGCAGCAGAAACAAAAACAAATCTTAATCTTAGGTAAAGATAATTATTTCGAATTGATTTGTACATACGGAGAAATTTAATATTTTTTTATACATATAGACGGATAAATATTGTTCCGGGTTAATACGTTCCGCCAATTAATTGCAAGATTGCCCCTGAATTTTACTGCGGCTGGGTACAGCTGTGTCCGGGGGGGGGGGGGGGGGGCGAAGTGGGGGGTGGGGAGTGGGGGGCAGGGAACGTTCATGTGTGTGGGGAGGGGACGTGAGGGCTCGTGATTCGGAAGGGCGTTCACGTGTGTGTAGGGAGGGGTTCATGCGTGTGGGTGGGTTTCCATGTGAATTAAAGATCCGTGACACTCGTCCACGTCTGGAGTCTCCGTCGGAATTGTGAACGTGGCGCTGGGCACCCCCCCCCCCCACACACACTCCCCTCCGCCACCTCTCGGATGTCATGCCGGCCGCCTTCGTAGGTGCTGCTTGCCACTCGCTAACAGCACTTGCCCCGACAGTCTGTTCGCGCTGTACGGGGGACCTTTGTCTACGTCGTTCTTTCGTGTCAGAGTTCAGGTGTTCGGGTCAAGCGACTATCGACCTAATCGTGTTCGTCGTTCTTACCACGCACCTCCGATTGGCACGGTTTGGATACGTACGGTGCGAAAGAAGTTGAACGTGCATACGTGCAGACGCTTTCCCCTCCGATATATCACTGGTCAACACACTTTTTTCTGGCATGAGGTATTCCAACGGGTTTAAGGTCATTGTGGGGTGCTGATTCCAAATCTGGCATCGGTTTTCTCTATCACATCAGGTTTTTGAGATATCAAATATTGCATTTTCAATAAAAACTGCAGAAGAAAAAGATTAAATAAATGTGGATATCTACATAAAATGATATTATGAACACACTGTCCTAAAAATACAGCACCATATTTTAACACTAAAGCAGTCACTGACTCGCAACAACTTGCAATCATAAGTGACAGAGTTAATTTCGGGTAAAATCAATGAAATGGAGTATGCCGATAGCATAAAAGTGAGATGTGATAGAGCAAATCTGAGATCAGATTTGGAATCAGCACCCTGAAATTAGTCTAAAACAGCTGCAAAAGTCCACAATTGTTTTTGTTGTTGACCAGTGTATTAGAAAGCCAATGGAACGATGCACTTTTAAATCTCGATTTTAAAACGCATTTCTTTAGAACTGGTCTTTATGTTGAGTTTTCCTTCCCCCGACACCTCCGATTGGCACGGCTGACTACGTACGGTGCGAAAGAGATTCGACATTCATGCTGCGGATACATACGAGCTAACATGGTAAACCGTTGTGGTGTGAAAGAGATTAGAATCGGGGTCAGAGACGCTGAGATACATGGGATCGAATCCGCGTGACAGCCACGCGTTATGAAATCGGCTTCACAAGCCCAGCGAGTTCGATACATACTTCATCATTAGACCTCCTTTGCCAGTACCCAAATATAATAATAGGGGTTTTCCCCTTTTTCTTGCAACAAAGCTGAAACCTTTTTACAAGGATTCATGTCTGCATTAACCACAACACCTGCAGTCGAAATGCAAACAAAACACACGATGATAATATATGCATTGTCTTTGAACACAGAGATCCATAGACCGCATACATAGAGACCCATCGACTTACACAGAGATCCATAGACTTCATACATAGAGACCCATCGACTTAGAGACCCTTAGATCTACTTATCGGGTTCTGAAGAAACCACTGAGCTATACGGCTATTTTTCAGTGGATAGAAAACGGCTGTAAGGGGCCGTCCATAAATGACGTCACACACCTAGGGAAGGGGGGGGTCAGAAATTTGTTACGATGTGTGACGGGGGGGGGGGGAGATTTGAGAAATGTGATGTCACATCAAAATGCGCAACTTTAAATAAATATAGACAACACGTTCTACTTAATTAAACAGACTTTTAAATAAATGTTTTCTCCGACAACATCAGAGTGCAGCGCCACATTAATTACGCACTACAATCACAATAGTTTAAAGCGTTTTGAAGCATGTTTTATTTGGGGGGGGGTGGGCACAGCTATGTGACGTCATATTTGAGGGGGGGGTCTGACTATTTGTGATGCCGTGTAACGAGGGGGGGGGGGTCAAAATCATCCAAAATCGCGTGACGTCATTTATGGACGGCCCCTAACAGACAGTAACCCTTGTACCGTGTAAGTAATTTTGTTGTTCATAGGTGAGCAGAGCCGGGGGGGGGGGGGGGGGGGGGGTGTAGCGGCAGCAGAGGGCGCTGTGGGATAGCCCGTGGCAGGGGGAATGGGCTCGGTGCTGGGGAGCGGTGGCGCAGCGGTTAGCGTTGCATTGCGCTACGAAAACCCAACGGATCGCTGCCACCAACGCCTGTGACGATGATCTGAACCGATCCTGGGCCCCCCCTCCCCTAGGTCGACTCGGCATCGAATGAGTACCTGGTGTGCGGTGTGTACCAAACATGGCCATTGGGGGAGACAAAGGCGGCCGGGCGCCGTGCTGGCCACATAGCTAGTGCTGCTACTCGCTAGCAGCACTTGCCCCTACAGTCTGTTCAGGCTATACGGGGGATCTTTGTATCGTTGCCGCGATCACCGTCCTGGGGTTCACAAAAGATGGCAATTCATAGACTTTACTAACACCGAGACAACGCTGTTCGCCTCCATCCCTAACCACACCCTGCCTCTAACACGAGTGATAGTTCTAAACCCAACCATCTAACCCTAGCCACACCCTGTCTCTAACACGAGTGATAGTTCTAAACCCAACCATCTAACCCTAGCCACACCCTGTCTCTAACACGAGTGATAGTTCTAACCCAACCATCTAACCCTAGCCACACCCTGTCTCTAACACGAGTGATAGTTCTAACCCCAACCATCTAACCCTAACCACACCCCGTTTCTAACACGAGTGATAGTTCTAACCCCAACACATCTAACCCTAACCACACCCCGTTTCTAACACGAGTGATAGTTCTAACCCAACCATCTAACCCTAACCACACCCCGTTTCTAACACGAGTGATAGTCTAAACCCCAACCAATCTAACCCTAACCACACCCGTTTCTAACACGAGTGATAGTTCTAACCCCAACCATCTAACCCTAACCACACCCCGTTTCTAACACGAGTGATAGTTCTAACCCCAACCATCTAACCCTAACCACACCCTGTCTCTAACACGAGTGATAGTTCTAACCCCAACCATCTAACCCTAACCACACCCCGTTTCTAACACGAGTGATAGTTCTAACCCCAACCATCTAACCCTCACCACACCCCGTTTCTACACACGAGTGATAGTTCTAAACCCAACCATCTAACCCTAACCACACCCTGTCTCTAACACGAGTGATAGTTCTAAACCCCAACCCATCTAACCCTAACTACACCTCGTCTCTAACACGAGTGATAGTCCTAAACCCAACCATCTAACCCTAACCACACCCTGTCTCTAACACGAGTGATAGTTCTAAACCCAACCATCTAACCCTAACTACACCTCGTCTCTAACACGAGTGATAGTTCTAAACCCCAACCATCTAACCCTAGCCACACCCTGTCTCTAACACGAGTGATAGTTCTAAACCCCAACCATCTAACCCTAACCACACCCTGTCTCTAACACGAGTGATAGTTCTAAACCCAACCATCTAACCCCTAGCCACCACCCTGTCTCTAACACGAGTGATAGTTCTAAACCCAACCATCTAACCCTAACCCACCCTGTCTCTAACACGAGTGATAGTTCTAAACCCCAACCATCTAACCCTAGCCACACCCTGTCTCTAACACGAGTGATAGTTCTAAACCCCAACATCTAACCCTAACCACACCCCGTTTCTAACACGAGTGATAGTTCTAAACCCAACCATCTAACCCTAACCACACCCTGTCTCTAACACGAGTGATAGTTCTAAACCCAACCATCTAACCCTAACTACACCTAGTCTCTAACACGAGTGATAGTTCTAAACCCCAACACCCTGTCTCTAACACGAGTGATAGTTCTAAACCCCAACCATCTAACCCTAGCCACACCCTGTCTCTAACACGAGTGATAGTTCTAAACCCCAACCATCTAACCCTAACTACACCTCGTCTCTAACACGAGTGATAGTTCTAAACCCCAACCATCTAACCCTAACCACACCCGTCTCTAACACGAGTGATCGCCCTAACCCTCTATCCCTAACTATACCACTGTCCAAATATGCTTGGACAACGTGGAAGAGTAGGCAAATACTATCCAGGTTTGATGGGGTGGGGAGGGGGCGGGCTCTCCGTCTTGGTGTTAGCGCGAGAATTTCTTTAAAACGAATAAACTATTTTTTTATTAGCAGGTAAGGTCCACTGAGCTATGTAGCTTATCGTCGTGTGGAATGTATCGCAGCCAAATTATCCACGCGAACACCACGGGAGGAAGACACAAAACCCCAAATATTACAGCAGCAGGCGGCAGGGTCGAGATCGGACCCACGACCTCCTGTATACCAGGCGAGGTAGTTAACATCTCCTAGCCACCGTGATGATGATGAGAGAGAGAGAGACACGTGAACTCCAAATATACAGCAGGCGTTAGGGTCGAAATCGGACCCACGACCTCCTGCATAACAGGCGAGGTAGTCAACATCTCCTAGCCACGTGATGATGATGATGAGAGAGAGACACGCAAACTCCAACTATACAGCAGGCGTTAGGGTCGGGATCGGACCCACGACCTCCTGCACACCAGGCGAGGGTAGTCAACATCTCCTAGCCACCGTGATGGT